AATGGACCCCTTTGGGTTGGATATAAAGGGAAGTCATTGGTTTTCTAGGAAGACTAATACATCATGCGTACTATGTTTATCTCTCATGAAGTTACTCCATGTCAAATTGTGGGCCTCTTGTTCCCTACCCTGCCAAATGAGGTCATTTATTGTTTTGACACTTTCATGCCCTAGAGAGGTGCAGTGAATGTTACTCTTTGCTAAAACTCAAAACACACTGACTCACCCCCCAAATGTTTATAACCAGTGTTTATATACTGTACCAAACATATACTGTACAAGCATATACCAAACACTGGCCTAGGTTTTGAAATATCAAGATAAATGGCATACAGTGTGACTCCCAAGGCACCAAGAAGCTCTGTGTTGACAACCTGCTTCACTCCCAAATTTCTTATCTGTGAGGGAATCCTTCTATTTGACAGTGATCAGCCAACCAACAGTGTGCCATAGTTGACTGTTTTAGCCAAAAGAGTGTTCATTAATTAGTCCCACTCTTCTTGAAGATCAATTTGTTTCTGGGGCATATAATGCTTTCCATTATATCAGTGTCTTCAGAATGCATATAGCATGTGTGATGGATATGAGCATACACTAGAAATAAGACTGTATTTCACAAAAACATCAACAAATCTTTATACTCCAACATGGACTTACATATCTACATGTAAGATTACATATCTACATGTAATATAATTTCAAGCCAATTTACATGACATGGATCGGACAGCTCTCAAATATTTGCTACACTGGTCAATATCTTTGTCAGGTATCTCTTCATCTTCTCATACATAGATGGAATTATTGTCATCTACAAGTAACTTCTGTTGTTTTTAGTCATACAACAATCTGCTTGGCATAATCAGAAGTGCCAGAAACTGGATCAAGCGGTAGGGGCTTAAGAATGGAGGCCACCCTCTATACTTCTGCTAAATTCAATACCTTTTCTTGAGTATATAAGCATTTCTCTAGCTCTTTTCATTTAAAGAAATGCATTTGGGGGGAGAAATATTTAGCTATGATTCAGCAATATAGAACATGCAGCAAAGTGCAGAGATGTTTTTTAAGTGATACACTAAGCCAGGTTTTTGCCCTGAAGACTTGTTTTTTACTCTGCAGTGTTTATTTCCTCTGTTTCAAGATGTCCGTAATGGAAAGAACAACTCAGAGATTAAACATCAGTGTTATTCTAAAAGCAATCATCTGAAAAATTTACATCCTTTCTACAATGACTGCCCTGAAAAATGAAAACCTTGGTCACACAATTGGTTTTTTAGTGCTGAGAATATCAAAGAGTTTATTTGACAGACTTTCACTAAATTGACTGTTTAGTCCCTGTTGAATGACGTGCCCCTTAGGTAAGACAGTCTGGGAAATCGTTTCCAAAGCATTTGGGACTCACAGCTTTTTTCACCCCAATTTTCAGCACAGCTTGAAGATTATCCACTTAGCTACCAGGCATCATTCTAGGGTGCCGACTTTTCCATACAAAAGGTTGATCACCTCTTCATCTGTTGAAACCTTTCCAGAGCGGTACTTCAGTTGCTTATTGTAAGAACAATTGTCTTACAAATCACTTTCATTCCTTTAATCCCTGGGCTTTCTCATTTCAGTACCAAACAGGGGTCAGAATGTTTGCTTCCATTCTTTAGCATTTTCATTCACCTACAGTCACTGTTCAAAGGTAACCTGGACATCATTCACAGGGAGAAATTTATGATGTTGTGCATGACACTATGGTTCTGTGCCTTGCATGGTTACTGTAGCTCACAGAGCATCAATCTTAGCTGGTGATCAATACCTGGTTATGGAATAAATGAAAGCAGGAATGATTGAATGACTATAACCCAAAACATCAATCAGTAACAATAAGTATTGGAGTTCCTGAGTAATCAGCTACCCTAGGAATGACTTAAATATTTTTACCAGTTTCATTTTTTTCCCTAGTAAGAAATATTTTCCATTCCAGTGTTAGCCAACTTAGGCTATCCTATTGCTTCACCCAGTGCCCAGGCATAATATCACACTCTCAAAGGGACCGCTGAAGGGAGTTTAATGAAGAGAGCATGTACGATGAAGTGGGCAGGGTTAAGCAACAAAGGATAGGGCAATCCTTAGGGCCAGCAAAAGCAAGGCTTCTGAGGGATCTGGGTGGGGAGCAGTTAAGTTACCGGAACATAGAATAGCTCAATGAAAAGGGCTGCCCTGTAGAAATGGGGGGCCTTGGGTACAGGGTCAGAGTCTGCCTGTAATGATCTGGTAGGAAGGTAGCTGTTGGAATAAAAATACTTTTTTAATTCTTCACTAATCTTTCAATTTCTTGACAAATGTCTTCCATTGGCTGAACTGAAAGTTGGAGGGCAGAGAAGGCTTTAGGTGAAGTCCTCAGAAGTTAAAGTCTTGGGGCTCAGAGCAGGATGAAGAGTGGAGAGTGGATGGGGGATGCAAGCCAAAACTACCCAAATGCCTTTTCTACTAGCTGAGGTGCTAACTGTAATCTACAAAGCACTGACACTTTCCTTTATGTCTGTATATGCAGGATAATCAAAAACAGGGAAAACATGAGTTTCAAATATGAGTCCCACAAAAAGAAAACAAAGTATTGCAACAGAATAAAACCCAGAAAGATGTTCTATTTCAGATTTGTCATAGTATAATTGGTAGAAAATCAATATTAAACATTATTAATGTCCCTCAAATTTGATAAAAATCTAAAAATTAGACTTCATAAAAGTCTAAAAATATATTTTTCATTTGTATTTAGGAAAAAAGTCTTTAATTCTGCCTCCAAGAAAAAAGTTGTATTGGGTTGTCTAAAAGTGGAGACTGACACAGGGATTCTTTCAGAGAGTGATTTAGAACAAGTCTTCAAGGACAAAAAGAGCAAGGCAGTGCAGGAGAAGAAGCTAAATGAAAGTGTGGTATCTAGCTCAGCCTGATTCCATGATGGGCTCTGGGTACCACAGGATTGTCCTGCAAGGGGAGAATCTATCCTTATGTGTGTTCAGTCACTTCAGTCGTGTCTGACTCCTTGAGATCCTCTGAACTATAGCCCACCAGTCTCCCCTGTCCGTGGAATTCTCCAGGCAAGCATACTGGAGTAGGTTGCCATGCCCTCTTCCAGGGAATCTTCCCGACCTGGAGATCAAACTTGCATCTCCTCCATTGCAGGTGGAGTTTTTACCTGTTGAGCCACCTGGGATGCCCAGAATCTGTCCTTGGGAGCAAGATATTCTGGTGGTGGTAGAAGAACATGTCCTAGGCATCTCTGGGTGAGGGTGTTCTCCATGGCTGACACAATTACCTATGAGAGGGGGCATCTGTGAACCGCTAGAAACTAACAGCAGCCCTGGGGGATGGGTGCCCTGGCTCAGCAAAGGAGATCTGCTTGGGGTACCATCAACTGAATACATCTAAGCTTGTAGGTAGAATCCTGCCCACCTACGAATATTCCCCAATTCTAACCTCGGGGACTGAATATATCTTGTGACATACTGCAGAACACAGCAAGTCATACTATCTCTGAGAAAATCCTATAGAGCAATTAGGCAATTGGCAAAGATAAGTTCACTTGAAAGAGAATGCTAAAATAGAGATTTGCTTGCAAATACAGAAGTCTTCTCGAAGCTTGACATCAGAAATCCTCTCCCAATGCATCCTCTTTTATTCCCCCTTCATGATTTCTTCTAGCTCCTTTGTGTTTGTGGCACACACGTAGGAATTGTTCTGAGACCCCTTTTTATATGACTGTACTGGATATTAACATTAGCTGAGATGGTAAATGATAAAGTTTAATCAGGAATGACATGGAAAATATTTATAGCATATTTGTTTATCAATCAGTAATAGTCAACTGGAACGTACCATAAATGGAGTTGCTCTATTGGGCCAGGGGTTAAACTTTAGGTGTCAGGTCATTAAGAGAAGGGTCTGAGGCTGCAAAAGAGGAGTGGTAAGACCCTGGATTAGGGGATGCTTAAGGTATAAGCTGCTTTTCAACCTGCTGAAAAATCTTTCATTATGATTATACCAGTTCCTACTGATTAAGTATTGACTGGGAGAATTGTTCCTGACATTATTTATTGTCATTGTTATTGCTGTGTTGCTTCAAGTAAAACATTAGTAACTGTGGCTTTGAATCTGATGACAGTCCTGCAAGTGACCGAAGAAGTCAGCAACTCCTAAGACCAATCTCTAAGACCATTATAACTGAAATTGTAATTTAACCTTCAAATCTAGATTCCCATGCATCTAGTATAAAACAAAAAGTTAAATGGGAACCTAGAAACATACTGTTGTAAGTTATTATTTATTATACCTTTGGACAGGAAGTTGGATAAGAACTTTCTAATCACAACCTTGAAGAAAATGGATAGTAGGCTATCTTAGCTGATATGTAAGTGGTCAGTGCTTTTTCTATTCATGATGCTTTAAACTGAGGCACTTTAATGCACAGTACTGCTAATTTATTTTTTTCTGGCCTCATTTGTACAGTCTCTTAAAATCCATCACAGTTGGGAACAGTGTCTAGACAGTTATTATGATACAATCAGAAGGAAAGCTGGCAAACAAAAAAAGAGAAAGAAAGTGAATAGAAGTGCTGATTAAAATAACAGTACAGTTTATATGAGGTGCCTTTTAAATTTGTATTTTCCAGGTTTCATCTTTGGAAGGCTCAGATCACAGTAAAATATTGTAGCACTGGAAGTCAGCTTCATTTTATGTCTAAAAAAGAAAGAGTAAAGTTGAATTTATTCCTCCATAGAAATATTTCAGCAAACTAATTAAATAAATATTATAGCAGTGCATTTGAATAGTTTTGTTATCAGTGAGGAAAGAAAATGCTCAAATATTTTGTCACTGTTAAAGAAGGGCAAAAAAGCCATTGCTGAATAAATGGTTTCATCAAATCTATATCTGATTTGAGGCAGTCAACTTTTTTATGGGAACTAAAAAATGCAAAATACACATAATCCGGTCCCTGAACACCATCTTTCCTTTTGAGTTTTCAGAAGAACTCCCATTTCAGTTTTGTAGCCATCTGCTCTTGCCTTTTGCCACCAAGTATGTGGATAGATAATTTCTCAGGGTGCAGTTAAATGAACATGAAGAAACGGGTTCGTGCTATAAAGGGATGCAAAAAAGTTAAAAGCATAAATGATCACATCTGTGCAAGGTATGGAGCAAGGGAGGAGACAGAAGCATGCAAATTAGCCACTCACTGTCAACACAGAAGTCCAAGTTCCAAGCAAATACACTGAATGGGATGATGATTTATAGCACACAAACTCATCCCCGTCAGGAGGGCAGAAAGGATGAATAATTGGTCAGAAGCATTCCTGTGGCATGGGAAAGCAAAAGCAACTCAGATCGATTCTGTAAACACAAAAGAACAGAAACATCCCAGCCTGAATGAAAGACTGATTACAACTTTCCAATCTTAGATTTGAATGACTCCATTTACTAACAGCAAATTTCATTAAGTCCAAAGTATCATGATGGAGATTGTCCTTCCTCCACTGGGCTCATGGTTTTTGTTCTTGGGCTGCTGCATCAATTACCCCATCCCCACCCCCCGCCAGTAAAACATTGGCAGATGAGCACTGCAGCAACCCTTTTCCGGAAGGTGGGCTCCAGTTCCCTCATACGGGAAAGTCACAGGTTTGGCGAGGTGTTAAGAGATTTAATTTCACTAAAAGCCTATAAGCCGAGGTTGCATTCCACACAAAGGATGCCTTCTGGACGATTAATGTAACTTTTACATCCTCTTCAATTTGGCTTTAAAATATCTCTTCCAATGACCATAATTCTCAGCCTGAGAACTTTTAACTTTTTTGGGTAGACTGTTTTAAGTGTTTTTCACCACTTCAGATGAATGTTGAAGAACTTCTTCATTAAGTCTTTGTTGTGGTAGAAAATCTAGAATAATGTGCCCTTGGTCCTAAGCATCTTAATTTTAGGATCACGTTCACCTTAGGGCACTGCAGTGTTTAGACCTCAAGTCCTAAGCTAAGGATTAACCCAGAGGCAATGTTATCTAACCATTTCATCCTCTGTCATCTCCTTCTCCTCCTGGCCTCAATCTTTCCCAGCATTAGGGTCTTTTCCAATGAGTCAGCTCTTTGCATTAAGTAGCCAAAGTATTGGAACTTCAGCTTCAGTGTCAGTCCTTCCAATGAAGAGTCAGGGTTAATTTCCTTTAGGATTGACTTGTTTGATCTCCTTGCAGTCCAAGGAATTCTTGAGAGTCTTCTCTAGCACCACAATATGAAAGCATCAATTCTTTGGTGCTCAGTATTCTTTTTTTTTTTTTGGTGTTCAGTATTCTTTATGGTCCAACTTTCACATCTGTATCTGACTACTGGAAAAACCGTAACTTTGACTATGAGGACCTTTGCTAGCAAAGTGATATCTCTGCTTTTTGATATGCTGTCTAGATTTATCATAGCTTTTCTTCCAAGGAGCAAGACCATTCTTCATATCAGTTCCTCTAAAGCTTCCCCCCTGGCAGAGTTAGGCTTCTCTCAGCCTAGACTGTTACTCACAAGATGTCCTATTTCAGTGAAGGGAGGGTAACTGTATTCGTTTTCTAGGGCTGCCATAATAAAATACCACAGACTGAAGGGCTTAAACAACAGACATTGTTTCCTCACAGTCCTGGAGGCTGGAAGTTCCAGATCAAAGTGTTGGCAGGCTTGCTTTCTTCCGCGGCCTCTCTGCTTGCGGGCAGATGACTATCTTCTTCCTGTGTCCTCACGAGGTCTTTCCTCTGTGCGATCCATCAGTGATGTCTCTCTGTGTCCTTCTCTCCTCTTCTTATAAGGATGCGGTCAGACTGGTTTAGGGCTCATCCTAATGGCCTCATTTAACATAATCACCTCTCTAAAGGCCCCATCTCCAAATACAGTCACAGTCTAACATACTTTGATTAGGGCTTCAACAAATGCATTTTGGGGGGACACAATTCTGCCCATAAGAAGTGGCAAATTCATGCATCTAAAGAAACCCAGAGAGTTATGCAGATGTGTACATGGGGTAGTATGGAAGATATAAGAAAATGGCTTTGCTGCCAGCAAGGCTGTGACCTTTCTGGAGGATCATAAACCTATTCACAGAATAGATACAGTGTTCAGACAGAGCAGCACTGTGACCACATTTGGGACAAGACAGGGCCATGCTACCCATCCAAGAATGACTAAGCCTCCTCCCCTCCCCACTCTACTGTTTACCCATGAGAACTCTAAACCTCAGTTTAACCCTCCCGCCTCCTCGATAAAGCGTAATAAGCTAATCAGTCATGAAAGTACCCACCTCCCGACAGCCTCCAGTCCACCTCGGGTTCCTGGTTCCGTCCTCCTCAGACTCCGCCCACACAGGCCACTTCCGCAGGAAGTTCCTCCCACGTGCGCTCCGTGCTGCTGCAGCAAGTTCGCTAACAAACTCTGACCCAGCTCTGTTCCCAGTGGGTTTTACAGGCAGTGTGAAGGATGTGCCTGGCTTGAACCTCCACCATGTTTAGAATGATTCGCTCCTTCTAAAGGTGCTCAGAAGAGACAAGACTAACGTCACCCAGAATACGTCACAGAAGCAGCCAGTTCGCAGCCCTTGCTCGAATGTTCGACTCTCCTCTGAAATCTCTTAACTTCTCCAGCTCAGTGGTTTTTCTGTTCCTTCTCTGACATGCGAAGAGTGGGGTATGAAAGGAGAAGCAAATGTCTGCATTGCCTCTCATAACTTAGAAACCATGCTTACAACCTTTGAATGATTCAATTTCCACAACACACTGGTAAGCTAAGTACGCTAGGTGGCGGGTGGGGGCGGCAGTATATGGGTAGGAAGAAAAGAGGAACAAGCTATTAGGTATAAACATAAGCTACAAGGAAATATTGTATAACATTGCGGAATATAGCCAATATTCAAACATAACTATAATGGAGTATAACCTTTAAAAAATGTGAATTGTTACTTGTACACCTGCAATTTATATATTATACATCAACCATACTTCAATATAAAAAAGGAAACTGGTCCTTAGAGATGTAACTGCCTTGATCAATGGCACATCAATAATGTGACCAAGTTCATACTGTAATTAAGTAAAAATTTGCTATACCACGTTATACTATGCTGCCTCAGCCTGCCAAGAGCGTGTAGGTGAGCAAAAAGATATTCTCCTATGCCCTTGTGTGTTTATGCTCGCTTCCCATCTAGACCAAAACGTCCTCAAAGTTAAAGATCCTGCTGAGTGTTTCTCTAGCATCTCCCACAGCTGGATTGAGTGCGATGCTGAACACATAGCAGACCCTCAACAGGAAGTCACTGATTGAGTGAAACTTGCGAACATTTCACAGAAGGGGGACAAAGGGAAGACATTCAGTTCAGTTCAGTCCAGTTGCTCAGTCTTGTCTGACTCTTTGAGACCCCCGTGAACTACAGCAATGGGACCATCTTCCCTGTCCATCCCCAACTCCTGGAGCCTACTCAAACCCATGTCCATCACATCGGTGATGTCATCATTATGTTAAAGCAAACTACCTTTCAATCTTTGTCTCATAATTGCAACACCAGAGGCTGTTACTTTAATTCTTCAAAGTGCTTGGCATCGAAACATTTTTCATGTTTGGCATTTTTTCTTTTCCTCCTATGGTTTCTGCTTTGAAAAAGGTTGGGGAGGTTCAAACTTCAATTCCATCTTCGCTTCCTGGAGTTGTCTGGGAATTTAGGAGCACGTGGAGAGCATGTGATGGACAGTGTGATGTGCTATATCCAGATCTGCCTTTAAGGAAGAATCTACTGCTCTAGCTGCTGGGATGCTGTCAGTACCAGCCTTCAGCTGTCAGCTCTTCAGAGACTGCTGAGCCACAATAAGCTGCCCTGTCTGTCGATTGTACCCTTTCCTGGAGTAGCCCACATCCAGCGACTGATCAGGGAGGGTTTAAAGTTCTGGTCATCTTGGCCCAGCTCAGGACAACTCTGAAGACACATCTTACATCAGAACTGCCATGACATTGACTGAGGCTGTCATAGTCTGCATCATGACTCAACTTTGGCCAAATCCTGCTTCTTTTCCTTCTTTGCCCAAGTGTTGAAACTTAAGGATCTCCTATGTAAATATTCTGCACATTAAACTCTTAGAGCCTGCTTCCCAAGAAACCCTACTTGAGACAGAGAAGTTTGGTTGGGGAGAGGGAGCGCTTAGCTGGTCCTCATGAAGAAGATGAACTTGCTGTGAACCCTCACGAGCATAAATCAGTAGAATGTGTTTGGCTGTGGTCTGTTGAAGGTGACCACATTACAGTGAGAAGTTTGGATGACTCCTGTGGCTTTGCTAAGCACAATTTATGCCTCCTACATCCTGAGGATGATGGAAGGGAAGCTTTCCACGCTGAAGGGGTCCCTTCAGGGCCTCTCAGGGTTTACTCAGCTGCTGAATATCTTCCCACATCTTCTTGCCTTAAAGCTAAGTAGCCAGTTTATTTGCTTTTGCAATATTTGTGTGACCTTGATCACTCTTAATCCAGTGAATGTGGAAGGAGTGCATCGTTATAGCCCTCATATCCTCCTAATGGTTCTGGCAATCTCTGAATTTCTGATGGTGTTCAAGACATTTTCACCCAAGTTCCAGCCTAGTAATAAAGACTTTAGGTGGACATTGGTCTGCTCTCTGAATCTTCCTTTCTTCCTGGAGCTAAAGGTGCAGGCTTTCTAATCAGCATCATTTTAGCTTTGTTGTCTACAGTGGCAGCTAGGAGCTCCATTTTCACCTGTAAGTGTCCTGTCACTTAGATAAATTTCACAGCACTCCTTGGCTCCAAGCCTCCCTCCAGAGTCTCCTCAGCAGGACTAATTTGATACATTGGCTCAACAAATCCCATTGGCCCGGCCCAATTTGGAACTGAGGGTGAAGATGGTTTATAGGGGCAATAGCAACAGAAATGTCCTCTCCGAGAAGGGCAAACCATTTCCTTTCTGCTTCAGTCCAGTACTATTTCCCTTAATCTTCTTAATGCCTGAGAAGCTGCTGCTTCCTCTGTCCTTAAAGCTCTTTCCTCCCCTGAAGGTTAATGCACCAAAGGGAGAGCTGGCCCATTATTTCTGCTCCTTTGGGCAGGCACCCTATTTTCTTCACTTCCATTTGGCATTATGTTAAAATGGCTTAGTGCTGAAGCACATGATTCATGGTCACTGGGTTAGGCTAAGGCCACAGGTTGTCTCATCAAAGGGTCTGTTAAGACAGAATTAGCCGGCCAGCTGAAACTGACAGCATCTCTTGTCCACTGGGTGGGTCTGATCAGGACCCAGTAACATACTCCTCCAGTCTGTGTTCTTGATGGACTCTCTGTTGGTGCCTGCCTCAACTTTATTCCCATATTCCTCACATTTTTGCAGAGTTCGTCTCTTACCTTTCTTCCCGAGGTTCCTCTCTTTCCACCCTTCCTTAACTGCCCTGAAAAAGACCTTGTCTGAGTTTCTGGACCCCTGTCTAGTTGGTTGACATCTTCCGTCTCTGCATCCCACCCTGTCTCAGGGAAGGGAACACTATAGCTAGGCTGGGGTGAGTGCCCTCCTGAATCTTTAGTGACTTCAGCAAAATCTAGCCTGTTTGACTATTTAATCAGTGCCTTCATTCTTATGTTTTAACTAACCTTTCCTGTTCAGAACAGTTCCTGAATTTAATCAAGTTCCTGGTTCTGCTGTCCGTGTCCAGCTAGTCTGTATTTTCTCCACTATCTTCTTGCATGAAGATCTGTTGTGGTGCTCTCCTGCCAACACTCTTGATGGAGAAAAGACCACCAGTTGGATATTATTTGTTAGTAACCACTCCTTCTAGGGTACTGCTATTTTTTTTTTCCAGAGCCATTTTTGGTCACTCTATAATAAATAGGATTTGGGGGGTAACTTTATAGTGATCCTCTATGTAGCACATGGATAAATTTAACTACAGAGCATTACTTTTATGATTTACAGTTTGCCCACTTCCAATTTTAATGAATTGCTTAGTTTCATTCACAAAGGGTATGTGCTGTTGAGATTTTTTAATTAATCATCTTTTTAGTGATCTTTTTTATGTTAGCTATTAATGTGTAGATTCAAATAAAAGTTGTTATGAAAGTTATGAAAGTTCTTAAAAATTCCCAGAAGGTGTGCTTCAGAAGAAATTGGAACTGTGAGTGGAACATCTCTGATCTCCTTCTAACTGTTTGGTCAGGTCACTGAGAACACCGTTCTGTCTTTTTTGGCTATCTGGGCCTTACTTTACCTATGAACAAAATAAGCATTTTGTATGAAGTGGTTCCTAAATTCCTTTTCAGATTTAGCATTCTCTGTCTCTGTGATAATGGGAAAAATGTTAATGTTTTGGGTTATTCCTTTCAAATCACATTTGGATATGCCATTTTGAAAAGCATTATAATTTCTTTTGTTCAGAAATGTTTTTTCTACACCTTGATTAGAACTGCTTAAGGAGAAGTCTCTCAAATGAGACTCGGATGGGAAAAGAAAATTGGGAAGGGAGAACTGAGCCTCGAATAATTGGATGAACCCTTCTCAGATTGTGGCTTCCCAGGTAGTGCTAGTGGTAAAGAACCTGCCTGCCAATGCAGGACATGTAGTCACAGGTTCAGTATCTGGGTTAGCAAGATCCCCTGGAGGAGGGCATGGCAACCCATTCCAGTATTCTTACCTGGAGAATCCTATGGACAGAGGAGCTTGGTGGGCTATAGTCCATGGGGTCACAGTCAGACAGGACTGAATTGACTTAGCACACACATTCTCAGATTTGTAAACAAGTCTCCTTCAGCATGGCCTGACTAATGGGAAAAGGAAAATTCTAGAACAAAGTTTTAAACTATCCGATATGTAGTTTAAATGGGTAGATTTCCTAGTTCCAAACCTGGGGTGAGTGTAAGGATTTTACTATTGACCTTTTTCACTGCAGGAACTCATTGCTAAAGAATTTATCCATCTCAAATGACAGCCTTGCCCCTTTCACATTGAATCCTTCCCAGGAATTATTCCTTAATAATAATTATAATAATATTTATAAAGTATTACACATGAATATACATATTTATTTATATTCATATTTGTACATTTTAATTTCACTACCAAATCAAAGAGATATCCAATATCTATCTCATATATATATATATATATATATATATATATTGTATAAATGTTTATACATTGGATATCTTTCTGTTTGGTGGCTAAATTCCAATAAGTACAACATCCTGTTATTTATTCTAACTGAAAATAAAAAGCTTTCCATGAGATAGAGTTGGGTTTTATGGACATTTATTTTTGTATCACATACTTCTTCCACGGCTGGCTTTCAGTCTGAATCCAGGCGGATGTTTCTCTTTTGAACTTCTGATAACTAAGGACATTCCTTTTTGTGTAATCCCTTCCAACCTTATAATCCAGTGGAGAATGCTCACCTGACGCACTGAGCAATAACTGATTTCAGTAATAGGCATTGCCACACACCAGTCTCTCTCCTTCCCAGATACTTTCTAATATGTCTGGACGTGTTTCTTTCAGCAGCTGCCTACAGCTTCTCATTTTATGCCTGATTTACCTCTGTCTGCTCTTGTGTTCTTCATGGCTGCCACTACACTCCCAGCCCTCTGTCTACTGTAATCTTATTTTCAATGTCTTGGTCTCTAGCTCAAGAATTCACATTTTCTTACCTCTCTGATTCTTATCATTTAATCATAATTTTAAAATTCGGAAGAAAAACTATGACAAACCTGGACAGCATATTAAAAAGCAGAGATATCACTT